ATTTTAGGTCTGAAAGCACGCGTTGCACGCTTTTTCCCTTGAACCGGTTTTGTCCCAAATGGGTTTTTCGGCAAGGTTTTTAATGAGGCAGCAAGTAAAACATGCTAAATTAGAATCGAAGGCCGGCAGCAAACCAGTTTCGGTGATCAAAATAGTATTCGAGGTCTCTCTTCGATCAACCTTGAACACTGGGGGGCATTAACCTCCGATATCGACTTTAGCATGGAAAGAGACTTCAGGATTAAAGGGTCTCGATTGATAAGATTCAATGTAAGGGCCAAACGGTCAAATAAATTGTGCCCACACAGACTTCTCGAACCCTGACACAAAGCATGTACGCATACGTTACTATTATGCATAAGAATAAAGAGAAGTCTCTTCCTTGCAAACATCTTGTCTTTTATAAAAACAAATTCCTTTGCATTTTTCAAGGAATTCCCTGCTTTCGATCCCCTAAAGGAAACGAGCCCAAGGGCCACCTTAACCTGAGTTCGAATAACCACTCTCTCACTCGGGGACTGCCGTCCGGAAACAAACTCGGACGGTCCAAGCTATTAGACCTCGGGAGTATAAGACCTATTAGGCAACCCCCAAATTTTATAGGCTAAGGCCACCCCCACTCGGGGACTGCCATCTTAGGCAAACCCGAAAAACTCTGGATAGTGATATTAACATGGGACAACACAAGAACTATAAAGGTTGCGGCCATATAAACTCGGCTCGGAGACGTCCGAAGCCCTTCATAAAAACAACAAGGCCTTAAAATTTTCTTAACCGGTTCCAAAGGCTATCCTCGATACTTTGGGGAAAGAAAACTTTCGGTCACACCGAATCCCCACGATGCCTTAAAATAAAATAGTTGAAGGCAAGGTTTTTTTGAGTTTCTAAAAAAAACCAATTGTTTTATGCCAAGGCATGTAGATCTTTGCAAATAAAAATAAACAAGGCAAAGAGAAAATTTGAAAACTATTGAAGGGAAAATGGCTTATATTCATAATCAAAAATTTCTTTTATAAGGGTTGAACTGCCCGATGAAATTTTTTACAAGGGCCAAAAACGGCCTCAGCAAAAATACAAATCTAAAAAGGCCTAAGTGGCCTAGTCTCCACCGGGGGCCGCGTCATCACCTTCGGGGTCTCCGCTATCTTCGAGCTCGTCCGAATCTTTAGACCCCTCAGAATCTTCCTCCTCGGGGTAAGCCAGCATCCTGGCATGGGCTTCGGGTACCTTGGCTTTCTCGATCTCAGCTAGTAGGTCAAAACCCTGAGCTCCAACTCCCTCGAGGGCCTCCCTTCGGGATTGCCACTTCATATGCTCCACTAAGTTTCTCACTTGTTCCTGAGCCGCCTCGACATCGGCCTAATGTCAGTCCACCCACTCATTAGCCTCGGCCTTAACCACAACAATCTCCGGCTTGTCCACCTCAAGTTCCTTGGTTAGATTTTCTTGGTCGGTGACCGCCAAGCTCAGTTGAGACTAGAGCTCCTCTATCTTTTTGGCTTGTACCAAGGCCTTTTCTTTTGCAGCCCAGAGCTGGACCTCAGTCGAAGCCAGTTGTTCTCGGGCAGTTTCCTTTTTTCGAGGCAAGATGGTCTATATTTTTCTTCCATTCTTCAGCCTCAGCTTTCACGGTGTCCACTTCCGCCTGGAGATGCTCGATCAGGTCAAGTCCTTTTTTGAACCTGCTGGTTCGGGTCGTTAGCCACTGTGTCTGAATCGTCGTCACTAAGTTCAAATACTCTTCTTACCTACTCGACCAGGTTGGCATGCTCCTTCCGAGCCGCTTCTAACTCGGCCTGGAACTTCTCACTAAGGAGCTTGTAAGCATCCCTCTTCTCAGTAAGCTCCCGAATCTCGGCCTCGTATTGGTTTAACTCTTCCCGATATCGAACAAACGTTTCGTGGTGAAGCACTGAGGCCTGCAAACACAAAGAAGAATATTATGATTGTTCACAATTTAATATAAGTACATACCAAAAAGGCTTTCGAAGTTACCCGATTCAATGTCTGTTGATCCTCGTTGAAAAGACAAGGGGCCTCCACCTCGTCCATTTTGGCCCGATCCTCTTCGGTCACCAAGCAGCGGAGATAGCTGATAATCCCTGCGGGGGCAGAGAGAACCCGGGCATCCTCCAGTACAGATACGATGATTGATCGCTTCCGGTCAGGATCTGCGCTCGGGGCTGGAAATCGGTCTACTAATATCGGACTCGAAGAAGATCCGCTGACTCCCGAAGATGGCATCTTCTTTGGCACCGATAAGTCATCTAACCCAGTGACATCCTCTGAGGCGGTAGAATCCATACCATCAAAGAAGTTGCTGAAGGAATCTGTCGCCCCTTGAGGCCCCTCGCTTGGGCGCCTTTCAGCATCTGGGCTTCGTTTAATATCGAGTCAGTGAATGATGGTGACACAGAAAGATCTATCACCCCAAGTATGTCCTTTAGTACGTTATCTTCTGTGCGAGAAGCACCGGCCACAGTCTCTCTATCGACCTTTTTAGCTCGGGGCAAAATGGGCTCGACCCTCTCAAGTTCGAAGGCCTTGGCCACTGCCTCTCCATCGGCCTCCCTGGTTTGAGGTAGCTCGGTACCACTCCTCATGCGGGTCATCAATTCAGAGTCTTCTTCTTCTTCTTCGGACTCATCCCTCAACTGATGGAGCGAGTCCGATGGGAGTTCTCGAGCGCTGGTATTTTCTTTAGATTTCCGCACCAGTCGCCTCCTCGGTTTCTTCTTTTTGGGGCCCGAAGAAATCTGAGCTTTTCTTATTTTCTTCTCTTTATCCTGCTTCCGAGCAAGGGGCTCGGTGAGTGGGTCGTCATCACCAAGCGGAGGCCTCATCTCAACATCTTTTGATAAACCTGCAAAGGGAAAGTGAAACAAGTTAGAAATCGACGGCATAAAAATAAGATCGAATGTAACTTGAAGAAAAAATCTCATCATATGAACGGGCCTCCCACCGGCCCTTTGAAAGTTTGCGCCACGCGCACTCAGAGTAGGGTTTTTGCGACACAATGCCCTCGACCCACTCCTTGAGTCGAGGTATTGCATCCGACATTCGAGCAACAACTACATCACAGGCAGTCGATGAGAATAAGGGCAAAAGAAAAATAATGAACAGAACATTTAAGGCAAAGTTATACTTACGCTTCATGTTCCATTTCTCGAAAAATGGCATGTCCTCGGCCGGGATTAAGTTCGAGATCTTTACTCGAACGAATCAGCCCAACCAACCTCGGTCCCGATCCTCATCGATGCTCGAGAATGGGGCCTTGCTGGCCCAACGAGCAAGTTTTATTAGATCCAGGCCCCATTGGGCTAATAAAACTTGGGAATCTCGCATCACGGTGGGAATCTCGACACGTATTAATTAAATTGCTTAATTAGTAAATCATGAGATTTTTTACCTTATATATAGTTGTACCTAAAGTAGGACTCCCCTACTATATAAAGGGGGTCTGATTATTTATAAAACACATTGTAACACGCATTCCAAAGCTATAAACTATCATTTCTAGTTATTATTATTATCTCTTTGCTTTGTTCCGGCATCGACTGTAGAATTTTTGACTCGAGGGTGATCAACCTTCAAGGCCAAGAAATTTCAACTTGTGTGGTTTGCATTTACTTTTCTTATCATTAATTTCAATCTTAATCTGATTTCTCATTCTGTATCAAGTTAGATCACGTATCCTTAAAATCGCGTATAAATTCAATTGTTATTTCTTTTTAGGGTAAACAAAGGTGAAATGGACATTCCAGAAATAGGGAGAAGTGTAATATGGTCTACACAATTTGAAGTTCCAAAATTTCTAACTTAAGTAATAGAGGAAAATACATTTTCAAGAAGGAAACATATTATCTTCCATTCCTAAAAACGTATCTAAACAAGTTGCCATTTTTTTAATAATTAATTATTTATGATATATTTCTTTTTCTATTGATAATATAGTCAATTTATTTATTTCTTATTGAGGCATCATTGATCTAAGAGAGGTTTTATTAATTTTAAGAAATTTACTTTCAATTCAAGCAACTATTACAAGTACATGACTACTGTTAACATTATTATATAATCAATATAGATATTTAGAAAAGAATATGAAGTCTCTTTTTATCTAGTTGAGTGTATATTGATTAGAATATATTTTTTCCTACTGGTACAATATCTCTTGATCTATTAGCTTAAAGGATCCACATGGACATTGGAAGAAAAAATCGTACAAAGTCAAAATTGTAAATAAAATCATTCAAGTTTTAGCAAATAAGGCAAGAAGCGGGAATGTTAAATGCAATTCTAATCGTTTACTACTAATTTCATATAATTGCATATTCCTAAAAGCATATTAAGTTAGAAGTTTAGAACTATGCGATTAATGAGTGGTGACAAATTAACATCAAAATGGTTGAGAAAATTCATTAGTCATGAATAACATATACTTACATTTACATATCTCATAGGCAAGGGCAGACCTATAGCCTAAATTATGGGGCACGTGAACTCATGATCTATCGTCAAACTAGATATTTTATATATGTATTTTTTTAAATTTATCGAATATTATCTGTTACCACCCATGCTTCAAAAAGGTTATATGACGTACTGGGTTGAGGGTTATTTACAAAAAAAGCATGGATTGATTCTCACTTAATATTATTTTTTTCTTTACTAGTACACTCATGTTATAAAATTTTTAGATTCAGCAGTCATGCGGTTGTACGAATAATTTGTCGGACTTCGATCTTTTTGAGGCCTAAAGCCACCCTTAGTGCGCCAGCAGTCATTTTGTTATATTGTAATCATGAGTTTTACATAGTGCGCATTTTGTTATTTTGACAACCATAAGTTCATATAGTGCCTCTCTCTCTCAATATATTTTAAAGGTACCCATCTCTGCAATATAGAATCAAATGAATATCCCCATTAGGCACAAAATATCAGTCAGCTAATGACATTGTAGGTGGAAGAAAGACATGAACAGGTTAGAAAAGTAGTCCTGAACAAGGGCACTTGAGTAAAACACACCCATGGTGCTAATCAAGTTACAAATTAAATACACTGAAAGAACAGAAAATTAAGCATTAACTAAACATAGATGTTCAGACTGTATTTCCTCTTATCAAGGTTTCGGCAAGGTACATGTCATCTCATTTATAGATAAATCATCTAACTGCCGAGATTGCCAGCAGCTGCTGCAGATAAAGCAGGTTCTTTTGGTTCTGGGATGGGTACTGTATCATTGCTTAATATGAAAACTTTGTCGGACATTGTTAGCTGATCAATTAGAATTTCTTCAACACAAAGAAGGGAAACAAGAATAGACCTTGTTGCCTTGTTAGATGATCACTATTGGCCTTTGTTTGATCAGTATCCAAAATCCTTGCCATTTCAAAGTCCGATATTTTGGAGAACTTACTACAGGAAGTTGGAACACTAAATCCTCTTAACGAGGCATTGGCAAGGTAAATGTCATCTCATTTATAGATAAATCATTTGACTGCTGAGATTGCCAGCTGCTGCGAAAAGCAGGTTCTTTTGGTTCCGGGATGGGCATTGTTTCGTTGCTTAACATGACAACTATGTCAAACATTGTTGGCCGATCAATTGGGATTTCTTGAACACAAAGAAGGGCAACCACTATACACCTTGTTGCCTTATCGCGATCGCAGGTTTCCCTTATTGATGGATCAATCAATTCCAACAAACTTCCTTCTTTCCACTCATTCCAAGCCTAAAAGATCAAATGAGTTACCCCATAAATGAAAAAAAAAAAAATTGAAAGAAAACAAACTTGGACAAAGTTTCCAAATGTCCTGAGCATTCCTTGAGCAATTCCTTGAGCAATTCCTTGAGCATAATCTCGAGTATTTGTGTAGGTAAAGCATTCCTTGAGCAATTCCTTCTATTATCTTGAAACGCGTACTCCAATCGAGTGTAACTTTTAGATGAGTGTCTGGAATAAAAATGAATATCTCATTAAGATTGTAAAGTCATTTGAAGTCTTTAACGGAGTAGAAGACAAACCAAAAAGAAATTTGTCCAGGCTGCAATTGGGCATATATTCATAGATTAGTATTTTCTCCTCGCTTTCAACACAACATCCTAAAAGGCTGACAAGATTTTTGTGCTGCAGTTTTGCAATTAACTTCAACTCATTCATGAAATCCTCCAGTCCTTGAGATGACCTTTTGCATAGCCTTTTGATAGCTACGTCTCCAAATTCGACCAAAGAATCCTGAAACAGTATGTTTAAAATGAGACAAATAACTTAAAGTATTATCAGTAAAATACTAAAGCTGAATTTAACACCTTAAACACAGGGCCAAAGCCACCTTCTCCAAGTTTGTTTTCTTCGTGGAAATTGTCTGTAGCCTCTCTTGTTTGCTGCAGGATGAACTGTAGCAACTTCATATCGCTTTTTCCCACAGAATATAAGCTAGATACAGACTTAATGAGAGCAGAAGTTCCATTCTTCCAGCATGATGTAAAGCAAATCAGTGTAATCCATACAAATTTTAAAATCATTACTGGTGCTATTTTACAATTAAGAAGTACTTGACGCACCTTGTCTTCTCAAGTGCTTTCTTTTGAAGACAAAAGCAAAAATACTAATAAGAACCAAGATAGCAGATATTGTAGAAACAATACTTGCGATAAAAATTATGTGTCTCCGAGCTGAATTCCCAGATACACGATGAGTAACTGCATCTAGAAGACAAATGGTAGATAAATAAGATAAATTTAGTTTTCTCGATAAAAGATGTAATGAATTATTATTACTAGTATAATTGATAGAAATTGAAGAGAAAATACCTGGCTCAGAGCCACGAACTCGAACATAGAGAGCTCTGCCAGCAGTGTAGTTATGTGCAAGGTCTAGTAAATCTCCAAACCAAATTAAACAGGTGCTATTTGAATAAGCATAAGCTGAGCAGGAACAGTTTCTAATGCACTGAGTTTCACACTCCTTAATGCTCATATTCGCGAAGGAGATAGCATGATCGGGCAACTTCATATTCTCGTGCTTCAAAAACCCATCTCCGCCATCACACCCCAATGCTAATTTTCTAGCACAACCTCCATTGGACTTCCCCTTTGCCCAATCTGTCGAAAATCTTGGTTCAAATCCAGTTAAACATCTGCATAATCCATTTGATCCGATCCCACAGCTTCCAAATGGACCACACTGCGCATAAAGTTCACAAGGAACTTGTGGTGCCTGAAATTCAACTTTCCACTTATTAGCATACTGAATCCATGCCAGCACCTGAAGGTATCCACTAGGATTCAAAACGATGATTATTGTTATCGGGCTTTTGGTGTAACCATAAGTAATAAATACTCCATCATTTCCAGAAACAACAGAAACATACCATGCAATTTCTAGGAAATTCCCTCCAGAGTATTCATTACTATCGTCAAACCTATAATAAATACTGTTCTGCTTCCAAATGTAAAACTGTGGTCGTCCTTGAGGGTCTACTCCAAAAGAGAAATTTCCAGGCCGAGGATCTTCACTACTTGTCCACGAATTGACCAGAGTTCGTTGGCTAGTCGTTCTATTATAACCGAGTTTCATCTCAGACATAAATGTATCCGTAGGATGTTCAAAGCTCTGCCACAATATATGGGACTCACCATGCATGAGAACAAGATTTCCATTATCTAACAGTGCTCCCACAGCAGAATTTGAAGCCAAACCTGTTGTCGCCGAAACATTTGAAGACCAAATAAATTTACCATTTTCATCAAAAAGCACTAAATTTCCATCATCACCAATAGTAAAAACTGCACCAGACTCCCGAGAGATTGGAGATTCTCTATTAGCAACCCAAATGACAGTTTGTTCAGGAATGGTATTATACCATATGCCAAAATAGCTAAATGTAGAATTGACTGGAGTGAAAAAACCTAAAGCAAAAGTTCCACCTGTTGAAACCATTTTCTGATTATCAGTAATTGATTTGCCCACCTTGATACTGTCTTCACTTGCAAGAATGGTTAAGCAAGAACATGAGAATACTAGTACACGAGCTAGGACAGTATCTAACTCCATTAGTTTTCCTAGTACACCTTCTTGTTTGTTCCTGTTTTATTCTTTATCCCAAGAAAGTGCACCACTTATCCCACTTCCACCAAGTTGGAATTAAAGGAGAGAATGTTCTTTATTAGCACAATTTTTTAAATAAACATAGTACTACCTCTTTTAAAAGATTGAGAGAATTAAAAAGATTTGTGGTCCCTTTCTCCCAAAATATATATACACCTAAATTACACGTTTCTAAATATTAAGTAATGACAAAAAAGATAACCTTTAACGACATATTATTAGTTTTTATGGTTACGGAGTGTGGAAATGAAGAGAACAATTACTTCCACTGGGAAAATTAATTGAGTTGTATATTTAGCTTGTTTTTTTACATGTTATCAAAGCTGACCTTTCATGTATTCGTTCTCACAGTGTAAACAAATCAGCCAAAAGAGTTTATATAGGTCTTAGGGCACTATTAACTGCCTTAAAATTTTGACTTCATGCTCAAATCTTTTCAAATTTTTACACGTTTCTAAACATTAAGTAATGACAAAAAAGATATGTTACGTTTTAGTTTTAATGATGAAAATAATATAATTTCTCTTGGTATAGGGACTCAAGGAAAGCATCCAAGATTGGAGGAATCAATTAAAGGAACTCAAGGAAAGCATTCAAGATTGAAGGAATCAATCAAAGACAAGGAAATCAATACGAGATTGATTGAAGCGGAAAAGAAGTATCGAAAATCTTGCAAAATGATCGATCAAGTTGCTATTACTGGAAGGACCAAAAATCAAGGAGTAAATCTGGTGCTATCAAGACCTGTAGAAGGAAAGCTATTAAAGTTCTTTCATCAAGGAAGAGCAACGGCAAATAACCTTATTCTTGGAAAGAATCAATCTCTTTCCAAGGATCAAATCTCTTGAGTTGGCAGATCTCTTCAGCAACGGCCTCTTACAAAGTATTTATACATATCCTTAAGCCTTAGAAAAATATACTTTGATCGAACCAAATACCCTCTCTTTGTTCTACTACAAACAAACATTATAACTCTGTTAGATCTGTTGTGTAACAAGTTAGAGAAGAAAGAGAAAAAAATACTGGTGAGGCATTGCATCAAAAAGAAATGAGTGACATAGAAACTGAGCCATTTGTGTAAACCACACCATTCACGATTGTACTCCAGAAACTCATTCACTGAAAGATAACTCCCTTGCAACCTAAGGGGACTGGACTAGGATTCACATTGAATCCGAACCAGTATAAAAATTCTGGTGTCTTTAATTCCTGCACTTTATTTCTGCATTTAATTTCTGCTCTTCTTATTATCTCGTTATTACATATAGTCGACTAATTAGAAAACTAGTCAACTAGTAGCTATTAAAATATAAAAATAAATAATTCACCCCCCTCTTGTACTTTCAATTGGTATCAGAGTAAGGCTCACACTTTTTCTTTTGCTTAACAGCTTATGAGAAAAGATCATGGCAAATCAAGTTATTGTCGGAGCACTCTTTCAGGAAGTAACATCGCAAGTGAGGCCACCACACCTTAATGGACAATATTTCTCTCACTGGAAAGTGCGTATGAAAATATATGCAAAATCTTATGATGTCAAGGTTTGGAGAGTTATCAAAAAAGAGAATTACCCACTACCGGCTGCTCCTCAATCACCCGTTGATCCTGAAGATATAGTTGAATATACTGATGAACAAATGGAGGTTGTGCAAGTTAATGCTAAAGCAAGGAATCTGCTTTATAATGCTATAAGTGGTGAGGAATATGAGAAAATCTCCAGTTGTGATACATCCAAAGAGATGTGGGATAAACTTGAAATCACTTATGAAGGAATCAGTAAAGTGAAAGAAACCCATATCAACATGTTGGTTCATGACTACAAACTTTTCCAGATGAAAGAAGGAGAATCTATTGAAGAAATGTTTGCCAAATTTAGCAAAAATCATTAGTGATCTAAAAGCTTTTGGCAAACCCTACTCAAGTGGTGATCAAGTTAGGAAAATTTTGAGAAGTTTGCCCACTACTTGGCAGACAAAGGTAGTTACTCTTGAGTCATAGGATTTGAACAAATTATCATATGATGAACTTCGAGGATAACTTATAGCTTTCGAGAAAACTCATCTTAAGAAAACAAATCAAGAAGAGAAGAAGAAAACGGTTGCTTTCAAGGCTACAACTGAAAGAACAAACAATGATATTGATGACGACCCTGAAGCTCTTCATGAAGAAATTTCCATGGTATCAAGGAACATGGATGGTTTAATGAGGAGATATAGGAATACAAAAAGAGGCAGAATACCACCCAGTCGAACTAGGCAATACAATGAACAAGACAAAAATGATGGCAAATGCTATGAATGTGAAAGATTTGGGCATGTTCAAGCTGAATGTCCTAAGCTTAAAAGAAAGGTCTCCAGAGGGTTTAACAAGAACAAATAATTTGGAAGATGGAGTTATGAAGACAGTTCTGAACATAAAGAGATAGTAAATCTATACTTCATGACAATTTTGGAAAACGACATGAACAAGCTCTTAGGGTGCTGGACAGACGAGGACATCTCAGATGATGATTGCAAAGATGACAACGAGAATTGTTTCATAGAACGAGGTGAAACAAGCGAGGTAAGACCTTTTAACTGTGAAAGATGTAATGAATTGTCGGATATTCTTGACCTTTCTTTGGAAGAGTCTCAAAAGATGATGAATGAAATAAAAAGACTCAACAGAGAAATAAAACACTGGAAACTCAAGCTTGAAGTACGCGAAATTGAAAAAGAAGTACTTCAAGATGAAGTTGATGAATTACAAATACAACTCAATGGCATGCGCAAATCCACCAGTCATAGTTCTGTAAAGTTGAACCAGGCGACCTACAAGTTTACTGGAAAAGGACCAGCCAGAACAGAGTCCACTAGTATTGACACAAATAGGAGAACCAAAAATGGATCAAGTTCTACGTGTCACTACTGTAATAAAAATGGACACAAATATTTTTTTTGTCGATTTCGTAAGTCAAATGTCTCAGGATGGATTTGGAAACCCAAAAACTATCATGCATCTAGTAATACTAACCAACAAGGACCCAAACAAGCTTGAGTACCTAAAAGGAAGTGATAATTATGTTTGCAGGAACACCACAGAAGGAGTCGCAAATGAAAATAGTACTTGGATAGTGCGTGTTCTAGTCACATGATATGTGACAAAAACCTATTTAAAGAAGTTACAAAAATAGATGGAGGAAATGTCAAATTTGGTGATGACTTAAAAATAAATGATAGTTGGTACCAGAATAATTCCTTTCAATAATAACTGTGATATCACTGAAGTATATCTTGTTGACGGACTTAACTACAACCTTCTGAGTATAAGTCAACTATGCGACTCAGGGTATGAAGTAAAGTTCAAGAAAACAGGTTGCACTATTGAAGATGAGACAGGTAAAATAATCCTCCTAGGTAAAAGGTATGGAAATGTCTATATTCTTGATGGTCTTGAAAATATAGATGGTCATATTTGCTTAACGTCCATATCTGATGATCCATGGTTATGGCATAAGAAACTTGGTCATGCAAGCATGCATTTGATAAAAAAAACTTTTCAAGAATGATTTAGTTATTGGTTTACCCAAATTCAATTTTTCTAGAAATTATGTATGTGATGCATGCCAAATTGGTAAACAAACTAGAAATTCTTTCAAAAATAAAGATGTTGTATCCACTTCAAAACCATTGCAATTGCTTCATATGGACCTACTAGAACTGCTAGCATAGGAGGAAAATGATATGCATTTGTTATTGTTGATGATTACTCACATTTTACTTGGGTGATTTTTCTATCTCACAAAGATGAAGCTTTGAAAAATTTCGAGATCTTCTGTAAAAAGTTCAAAAGAGAAAAGGGATATCTTATTACAACTATTCAAAGTGATCACGGAGGAGAATTTGAAAGCAGAGCATTTGAAGATTTCTGCAACGATCAAGGATACACTCACAACTTCTCTGCTGCAAGGTCACCCTAACAGAATGGAGTTGTTGAAAGGAAAAATAGGACTTTACAGGATATGGCAAGAACTATAATACTAGAATATTCACTGCCAAATCACTTCTGGGCAGAAGGAGTAAGTACATCTTGTCATATACTCAATCGATGTCTCATAAGACCCATCCTGAGGAAGACTCCCTCTGAACTGTCGAAAGGTAAACGGCCCAATATAAGTTACTTTCATCCTTTTGGAAGCAAGTGTTTCATTCATAATAATGGTAAGGACAATCTTGGAAAATTCTATCTAAGAAGTGGCGAAGGTATTTTTCTGGGTTATTCATTGAATAGTAGATCTTTTAGAGTCTATAATAAACGCACATTATGTGTAAAAGAGTTAGTACATGTTATCTTTGATGAGGATAACACTTCGGCCGAGAAAGGAATTACTGCAGGTGATGAATATCAAACACAGGTAATTCAGGAGACAAGCAAATCTCAAGAGTCGACTAATAAACTTGACAGTATGGTAGAGTCAACTAATGAGATTAGCAATAGTCAATCAGAACCTTCAGAGGAGTCAACTACTCATACAGTTCGTCCAAATTAATGGAGAAGTGAACCGGAATATCCTCAAAAGTTTATCATAAGGGATCCAAGCGAAGGAATGAAAACCAGGGGAGCTCTCAAGAAGAAATCTAACATAGCACTGATTTCCCAGATTGAGCCAAGGATAATAGAGGAAGCTTTGAAAGACTCAAGCTGGCTACAAGAAATGCAGGAAGAGCTAGATCAATTGGAAAAAATAAAGTATGGAAACTGATGCCCAAGCCTGAAAATGCTCCCGTAATTGGAACAAAATGGGTCTTCAGAAATAAGCTGAATGAGGATGAAAACGTTGTGGGAAACAAAGCTAGATTATTTGCTCAAGGATACTCTCAACAAGAAGGAGTAGACTATGAAGAAACCTTCGCTCCAGTAGCTCGACTGGAATCTATACGAATTCTTCTTCCATATGCATCCTTTAAAAGACTCAGGTTGTTCCAGATGGATGTTAAAAGTACCTTTTGAATGGTTTCATTGAAGAGGAGGTATACATAAAACAACCTCCTGG